CTGTGACTGTCAGCAGGCGACCAGCAGACATCGTCAAACGTACCTTCGTCGGTTGAAGAACGAACGCTTCAGCAAGCAAAACGTAACTTATCTTTGCATGTCTTGTCTACTGGCACTGAGAACAAGACAGCAACCATCACATGGTGTTTCTCTAACTCATTGCGAAAGTACGTTAACGCTTAATAATACCACGAATGTCTTCACCAGGCTGAACTCAGTGCAGATAAACTCTTGGCTTGAGTAACAACAAACCCAATGATTCCTGACAGGATCAAAAATGCAACTCACTACGAAATAAACCAAAGGGTCCTTGTGAGGGTCATAAAAAAATGGAAAAACAAAACTGTTCTATATGAATGAGATAAAAGAAGAGCAGAGAAACCGAACATTCCTATCAAGGACCAAAGAACTGAAGCCGTGGGCCGCGCACGGCATTTTCCAGCTAAATGTAGAAAGCATTTCCCGCGCAAAATGCCAGTGCACATCAAGGTGCATCATATTATGATCGACAGAGTTATCCCGCAAGAGATACATATCAGAAATGACCGTAAAGCAGACTATACAAAATTTCTTGGTTCAGTATCATCTTTAACACTTGTGATACTAAGCACGGTTTAGGAACCTATGCCAGAGTATGCCTCAAAGATGTCGCTGTGCAAAGCACTAAGAACTATCAGACAGGCTGACACAGCTGAATTAAAGAACTCAAATTTACTACAGTGAGGGTCAGACAGATCGCAACAACGAACATATACGAATGGCATGGAATCAGCTGGCCAACACTGCCTCTACAAACGCTGCCTCAGAAAGCTCTTTATGCGGACGACTTCAACATCCACTATACGGTATGGGGCTACACAGCGAACGATGCGGCGGGTGAACAGCTAACCGACTGGACAGCAGTAGCTGCTGCTGAATAGCAAGGAAACTACACATGAGCCAGATACAAGACTGACCGAAGTCCAAGCCTTCATATCCTCTCCAAGGACAAAAGTGACGGACATATCCTGGCCTCCAGGACAGTGTATGGAATCTCTTTTTTTAAAGAAAAGACAGCGTCGTCCGGGACCGCTTATGAGCCCGTTTCGCAATCATGCAGGAACTTGAAAAGCAAACTGGCCGTCGTACAATACCGGTATTGAAAATTGCACGTGGTGAGTGATGCCCACGCTTCTATCTTAACCTCAATGTTAAGAACTTATAATCAATGCTAAAACTTGGATACAAAAGAGTGACAGTGTCAGGCCTGTTTTTACTACAGTACACAAAACAAGATAACTTTCGTCCAAACGGCGACATTCCAGAGTCATCGTCATCCTAAAACCAGGAAGACTTCCAGAGAAACAAAACAACTACAGATTTGCCTCCTTAACGTGCACAGCCAGAAAACCAATGCAGCAACCTGCGAAAAATCAGCTTTCCCGCATAATTGATGTCGCCCTGTCTGTGGAATAATCTGGCTTTCTACCTGGGGGCAGTTGCTGCGAGTCAGAACCACAGCGTAAAAAAACGGGGGGGGAGAGAAGAGTTATAGATCTATCATCGGCATGTGATATGGCCTGAAGCGATGGTCTAATGTGCAAACTTTCCAGAGAAATCAGGTGCCAGAAGACCTTTCGCCTTATCGCAGCCATTGTCAGCAACGTTTTGTACCGG